GGTCCAGGTCACTGTGTCCAAAGGATGCTCAGTGATGCTGGGCAGCCCTCAGCCAGGAAGCACAGGAGGGGTGTCTGGGGGTCGCAGCCAAGCTGTCTCGGCATTCCTCACCGCCCCCCCGCCCCGCCCCGTATTCCTGCTGCTGGCTGCTTCACGGCTCACCTTAGAGTGACAGCAAGCAGGGACGTGGGCTTCAGTCCTGCCCCCGCCCTCCCCGCCCGGAGGATCTTGAGTAGCTCACTTGACCAGCAAGCCTCAGAACTGTGGGATCTCGGCTGCTGTCCCAGCATCTACACCGGCAGTCTGACTCATGGGACATGCCATATGGTAAAGTTGAGGCGTCACTGGGATCTCGGCTATGTCCCAGGGTCCACACCAGTGGTCTGACTCATGGGACACACCATGTGATGAAGTTGAGGCTTCACTTAGTGTACTTGCTTTTCTGGGTGTTGGCTGTGGGACCATCCTTCCAGCATTTTAACCCTGTTGCAGTTGCCCACACCTTAGTCTGGGAAGGGAACCAACAGACTCTGTGTGGTGGAAAGACTCACTTCACTGTAGGACCCTGACCCTTGAGGCCAGGATAGTTCAGCAACGCACCCCCGCCCCGCCCCCCCCCCCCCCCCGCACCGTTCCTGGCACCGTTCCTGCAGGTGTGACAGGTACTGCTTGGGGCCCTGGCACAACCCCTCCAGTTTGCAGTCACTCAACATCCTGTTATGAACCCACCAAGAAGGAAGGCATGAGTGAGGACTGTGGGTCCCCAGCAGCAGAGAACCACTGGCCGGGGCCAGTGGACAGCTAGCAGCCTCTGGAGATGCCAGGGGGTCTTTATAGCAGTCTTGCCCAGATTTGCCTCATGGGGCTCCCAGAAGCTTCCATGTAGTCCTGTGGGTTCCTAGTGTTTCCAGCTGGCCCAGCATTCCTACCTGTCAGTAAGAAATAATGTCGTTTTGGTTCTAATTACTCAATCATATCTAATCCTAAGCATTCCTCTGTCTTATCTAGAAACTTGACTCCGCATCTGTGGGCCAGCCAGAAGTTGGGTAAAGTATAGGAGCAGGAAAAAGTTCTTACCCATGAGCTGGAATGGCTGCTTATCTTAGCTCTGGGAATGTACATAAAGGAATTTGTTATTAAAGCCTTTCTGTAAAATGGAACACAGCTTGGGTTGAAGCATGTGATTTGGAGTCAGATCAGACCATCCCTTCGTAGTAATTTTGGAAAGCGTAAAGGAAAAGGAGGGCCATTATTTTAGAACTTTAATATTCATTTAGCTTCACATTAAAAGACATGTCAGTCTTCTTTTTTTTTTTTAACAATGTAGTGATTGATTGATTGATTGATTGATTTAAAGATTTTATTTATTTATTTGACAGAGAGAGACATAGCAAGAGAGGAAACACAAGCAGGGGGAGTGGGAGAGGGAGAACCAGGCTTCCCACTGAGCAGGGAGCCCGATGCGGGACTCGATCCCAGGACCCTGGGATCATGACCTGAGCCGAAGGCAGACGCTTAACGACTGAGCCACCCAGGCACCCCGACATGTCAGTCTTCTATCTGCAAAAAGATAGTTTCCTGATTTTTATTTTAAATCAGAGATCATTGAATGGCTTGAAAGATGTTGTTAGCTGTAAGACCATTCCAACTCAGATTATAATATATGTGTAATTGGAACTTGGGGGTGCTGCCTGGGGGCACGTGGGTGGTGACCTGCTGGCAAGTAAGGATGAGAAAACTTTGTAGAAGGAGGAACTTAACTCGTTTCTGACCCACTGGTCCAAAGGCCACTGATACGGGGAATCCCTGAGAAGATTAGGGCTCTGAATAACTTCTCCCCCCTTGGGGTGGAGGCCACGGGCATGCCTTGGGCAGAGGTGGGGCTGAGCTGAATGGCAGGGTTGCAGTTGCAGAGAAAGGGCATCTCTAAACGGAGTGCTGCCCACCAGCCACCCCCCGGGGTGTAACCGCAGCCCCCCTCAGTGGGCAGAACCTAAAGATAAGCTTCACAAAGGAATGGAGTCCTCACTCAGATCCCAGGGCTTCTTACCTGACAGGGTGGGAAGCACACCAGTAGGTTAAAATGAAACTTTCATTTTGTTCTTAAACTTTTCAGAATGAAACATTGCAGTCTAAATACTCTAGGAAATAACGAACAGACAACACAAGACAATTCACTGAAAAAGAAATTCACGTGATCAATAATATATGGAAAAAAAAGTTTACCAATAATAAATGCAAATTGGAAGAACAGGATCCCTGTTTTTGCATATCAACTTGGCAAAGATTAAAAATAATACTTTTCAGGTAGCACCTGGGTGGCGCAGTTGGGTAAGTGCTGACTCTTGGTTTCAGCTCAGGTCACGAGATCAAGCCCTGCGTGGAGCTCCGTGCTCAGCACAGAGTCTGCTTGGGTTTCTCTCTCCCTCTGCCCCTCGCCCCCGCTCTCTCCCTAAGATAAATAAAAAGAATACTTTTCAATTCAAAAATAAAGACAACACGGTTTAAAATGGGCCAGTATCTGAATCGATATTTCTCCAAGGAAGAGACATAAAGGGCCAATAAGCACGTGAAAAGATGTTAAACATCATTGACCGTCAGGGAAATGCAAATCCAAACCATAATGAGATCTCACACACACTAGATTGTCTATTAAAAAAATAATAATAATAACTAGTATTGTCAAGGATATGGATAAATTGGAACCCTCATAAACTGTTGGTGGGAATGTAAAATCATATAGCCACTTTGGAAAGTAGTTTGACAGTTCGGCAGTTGGTTAGACCCAGGATTAACCATATGGCACAACAATAGTTCCACTCCTCGAAATATACCCAAGAGAAAGGAAAACATAAAAACATCCACATAGGGCGCCTGGGTGGCTCAGTTGGTTAAGCGACTGCCTTCGGCTCAGGTCATGATCCTGGAGTCCCTGGATCGAGTCCCGCATCAGGCTCCCTGCTTGGCAGGGAGTCTGCTTCTCCCTCTGACCCTCCCCCCTCTCATGTGCTTGCTCTCTCTCATTCTCTCTCTCTCAAATAAATAAATAAAATCTTTAAAAAAAAAAAATCCACATAAAAATGTGTACACAGATAAGCAGCCTTATTCATAATAGCCAAAAAGTGAAAACACCCCCAAATGTCCATCAGCTGATGAATGGATAAGTTAATGTCCTACATTCTTTTTTTTTTTTTTTAAGTTTTTTTTTAAGATTTTATTCATCCATTTGACAGCATGAGCGAGCACAAGCAGGGGGAGCAGCAGAGGGTGAGGGAGAAGCAGGCTCCCCGCCGAGCAGGGAGCCCGATATGGGACTCCATCCCAGGGTCCTGGGATCATGACCTGAGCCAAAGGCAGACACTTAACCAGCTGAGCCACCCAGGTACCCCAATGTGGTATGTACTTATAATGGGGTATTAGTCCGGGACAAAAAGGAGTATGGTATTGATACCTGCTCCAAGATGGATAAACCTTGAAAAATCATGCTAAGTGAAGGAGGCCCATCCCAAAAGACCATATTTTGTATAATTCCAATTGCATGAAATATCCAGAATAAGCAAATCTATACAGACAGAAAGTAGATCTGTGGTTGCCTAAGGCTAAGGGGAGAGGACAAGGATTAGGGAGTGCCTTTCTCTCTTGGAGGGTAATTAGGCTGGTGAACTGGAGGTCTTGAAGTTTCTAGGGCTATACCTTTGCCCTGGATATAGACCTTAAAGAAAAAAGTAGAGGTTTATAAAGATTCATGCTTACAAATATGCATCAAGTAATTATATATAATAGCAGATACTTGGAAGCAATCTAAATGTCCAACTATAAGGAAATGGTAAATCTTTTTATTTTTTATTTTTTATTTTTTTTTAAAGATTTTATTTATTTATTTGACAGAGAGAGACACAGCGAGAGAGGAAACACAAGCAGGGGGAGTGGGAGAGGGAGAAGCAGGCTTCCCGCTGAGCAGGGAGCCCGATGCGGGGCTCGATCCCAGGACCCTGGGATCGTGACCTGAGCCGAAGGCAGACGCTTAACGACTGAGCCACCTAGGCGCCCCAAATCTTTTTTTTTTTTAAAGGCCATATTATTCAGTCATTAAAATCATGGTTTTGAAAAACATTTCATAATAAAGGAAAGTTTAATGCTAGAGTATTCCGTGAGAAATTTTGATAGACGGTACGTGCCACTGTGCAGGAAAGAGTTAACAGAGCAGGCTTGAGGTTGCTCTTCGGAAGGTCTGCTTGCGAAGGTTGGCCCCTCCCTGGCACCTGGGAACCTGGCTCTTGGAGTGTTCCCTTCTTCCCCTAACTGATAAGGTTGGCTCACCCCCCCAGACCAATGGCACAGACCATGTGATTTATGAAGAACACCTGCTTTCTTTCTGGGAGTCTAGAATCTGGTTACGTGCTAGTCAGACGGTGCCTTTGTGATCAGTCCCCGATAAAACCCCTGGGTGTTGATTTTCTAATGGGCCGACCTGGGCGGTGACATCATATACACGTTGCTGCGTTTTTGTTGCTGGGGGAAGGATATGCTCTGTGTGACCCTTCATGGGAGGGGGAAAGCATAAGGGAGGCTGCTTCCGGTGGATTGCTCTAGAACCTACCCATGTCTTTCCCCCTTGTGGTCCAGCTCTGTATCCTTACTAAGTTGCCATCATATAGCTGTTGGTGCAATTACATGCTGAGTCCTGTGAGTCTTAGTGAATCTGAACGAGGGGCTGGTCTCGGGAACTCCCAACACCGCACTAATATGAAAAATGACAATAAGCATGTAAAATACACGGGCAGGGAGAAAACCACCATACAGTGGCTGTTTCGGAGTTGCATTGTTATGAGTGACTTTTGTTTTCTTTTGATACTTCTCGGTATTTTGTGTATTTCCCATTTTGATGTTACTTTTAGTTTCAGAACAGGTTCATTTTTAAAGCATTTCTGTTATATTCAACGTTGTCATCATGTTTAGAGTGGCTGACCTCTGAAAGGTCATCTTTCATTTTCCCTTAGGGTTGCAATCCTCTTGCACAAACTGGCCGGAGCCGACTGCAGAATCAGAGGGCTGCCTTGAACCAGCAGATCCTGAAAGCCGTGCGGATGAGAACGGGAGCAGAAAACCTCCTGAAGTGAGTGACTGCTGGCTCCATTGCCTCGGTGGGGAGCCAGCCTTTCCTGGGGCCTGTCCATCCCGAAACTCTCAGGCCTGCCCAGCTTCCTCTCTAGCTCTCAGGGTTTGTTTTTTTTTAAGATTTTATTTATTTATTTATTTGACAGAGAGAGACACAGCGAGAGGGGGAACACAAGCAGGGGGAATGGGAGAGGGAGAAGCAGGCTTCCCTCGGAGCAGGGAGCCCAATGCGGGGCTCGATCCCAGGACCCTGTGATCATGACCTGAGCCAAAGGCAGCCGCTTAACGACTGAGCCACCCAGGCACCCCACTCTCAGGTTGTTTTTTTAACTTTGGGGTCCCCTCCTTGTTCTAGTGCCTGGAGCAGGCCCTTCCTTGCCTAGAGCTTTATTATGTTCAGGACAAGTATTTTACCCAGCCTGTTTGTGTGATTGGGGATGGGGGAAGCCAATGATCACATTCCTGTTTGTTTTCCCTGCTTTCTATGGGACGTGTCTGTTTTCTCTATTGCCTGGTGGAGAAACTATGCCCAGTCTAAAATCACCGCTTGGTAACTGTTGGATGTATAAAGGAGAAGAAGGCAGGAGGGAGGGAATGGGACATTTCTGTTGCTAGTGTCCATCCCTCTAAGGAGAGGCCCCAGTGCAGCCCCATGGCCTTGGGGCTCTGGTGGGAAAATAGTTACTTATCAAGCTTAGAACTCAGTGAAGCTTTCCCTTTGTCATAGGCAGCTCTAAGCCCTCCCCACACCCTTCGGTGCAGTGTCAGACAGGTGTGCCAGCTTCCTCTTGTTATAGTGTAGCCTTTCTTCTTCCTTCAGAGTTCGGGGGGTACCTCTTGTCAGCCTCATGCCGTCTTCTGTACTGGTGGTCAGCACTGTGCCTGCTGCCCGGCCAAGTGAGACAGATGCCTCCTGCAGCCTCAGAAAGAGACGTGGGGCACTCGCAGGGACCTGGAACCCACAGACCTGGAGGGAACCCGGAAACCTGGCAGGATATGGATAATGGGTGTTCCCAATGGGTCAGCTGCACCGTTGGAGGCCTGGAGAGCCCAGAGGCTGCTCTGAGACCGTTGGTCTCAGATACACCAAGCAAATACACCAAACCAGGTGTTTGTAACAGAGCTGCGATACTCTGGTGGTCAGATACGTCCCAGCATCACGATCAGCTCCTCCACAGGGGCCGCTCCCCTGAGCAGCCAGTAAAGACAGGAAACATAAACTTAGGGCAACTTCCTTTGGGAATCCTTCTGTATCTGCTTCCTAGGAAAGATGCCTGAGATACTAAGTGGGGGAACAGCGAGACGCAGGACAGCATGCCCTGCGTCTGTGTTTAAAGGATTGGTGTGTTTGGTTTTGTGCATGCAGAGACTTTTTCCAGAAAGGACGAAGAAAGAAGCTGCTAGAGTCAGCTCTGGGGAGCAAGACCAGGGATGGGGGTGAAGGTGACTCTTAACTTGTCATGTTACTTCCTCCGGTGTTTGGATGTTCTTTTACGAAGTGCCTGAATTACTTTTATTCATTTTTATTGTGAGATCCTGCAAAGGCCTGGAGGATAGTATCACTAACCACCTAAACCTACCACCAGCTCAGGAACAACAGTACCTTGTGTCGGCATTGATATACGTGGGCTAGCAGAGAACACAAGTCCTGGCATGGCCAGGGTTCTGGAAACCTCTTCTCCAGCTACTTCTTTAACAGAGTAGAAGCTAGGTTGTGACTGGAGGAGATAACAAAGCCATTATGACATTTCACCCTTATTTTTTTTTTTAAGTTTATTTACTTATTTATTTTTTTAAAGATTTTATTTATTCATTTGAGACACAGAGATACAGAGAGAGAGAGAGAGAGAGAGAAAGCATGAGCAGGAAGAGAGGCAGAGGGAGAGGGAGAAGCAGGCTCCCCGCTGAGCCAGGAGCCCGATGTGGGGCTTGATCCCAGGACCCTGGGATCATGACCCGAGCCGAAGGCAGACGCCCAACCATCTGAGCCACCCAGGCGCCCTACTTATTTATTTTTAAGTAATCGCTACACCCAACGTGGGGCTCGGCCTCACAACCCTGAGATCAAGAGTCACACGCTGCCCTGCCTGAGCTGGCCAGACGCCCCACAACATTTCACCTTTTACAATGTCTGGTAGTGTCCTTGTCCCCAGAGAAGTCTGGAGCTGGGGACGGTCAGGTCCACGGTATAGTGGACCTCATGCAGCCGGTGTAGCTTGGGAGAAGCCCCCGATTTCGGGATCGGCGGCCCTGGGCCAGCTGAGCTTGCCGTGCTGGGAAGGCTGCAGGCGCATCCCCTCCCATCCCCCCCGGCGTGATTTGTGGTGGCTGGTTTTGGTTGACACTTTGGTGTGGCTAAGGAGGCAGGCGGGTGGCCTTGCCTCTGTGGCTCCCCAGGAGCGGACTGCAGTGGATGGGGCTGTTCATTCACCCCATAAATGAATTTGCTGAGCACCTAGCAAGGGGCAGGCTGTGTTTGAGGTGCAAGAGGAGAAGGCTGCAGGCCCTGCTTTCCCGATGCTTGATCTCCTGTGGGGGGACCTTAAATACACAGCAGACAAGTCCAGTCATGTCAGAGGTGATGTTTTCTAGGGCGTTGATGAGAGGGAAATGTGACCGCGTGGCTCAGCCTTCGAAACAGGCCAGTCAGGGGGCCCTCTCTGACCAGGGGCCTTGGTGTTTCTAAGGCGGGAACCGGGGTGGTTTTGTTGGTCTTGCTCTTTTAACAATAGCGGCAAACAGCCTCCGAGGCCCGGTGGTTCAAGCTCATTGTCAGGTTGGCCGTTAGGGAGCTGGCAGCGCAGGGCGGGGAGGTGGGGAGGGTGGCTTGTTAATGATTTTCGCAGTGACCTAAAAGTTCAAAGTGGCCCTTTCTGGAGAATGTTGTGAGAGAGAACCCTAAAGGTATTTATTAATCTGACTCCAGCAGCAGCAATGGTTTCCCGAAAACAAATAAGGCGTTCAGCCAAGTCTGGCTCTGGCCCTGTGGTTGGCGCTGGGTGGCTGATTAGGTGGCTGTCCCTGCTGCCAAGGTCTGTGTGCCTGTCTGCTTTCAGGTTCTCGGATGTCCCTCCACGGCCGTCAGGTAAAGATAGAGCGTGTGGGGGGGGGTGCCTGGGTCGGTTCAGCGTCTTACTCTTGGCTTCGGCTCAGGTCATGGTCTCGCGGTCATGGGATCGAGCCCCGCTTCGGGCTCCACGCTCAGTGTGGAATCTGCTTCAGATTCTCTCTCCCTCTGCCCCTCCTCACTCACACTCTCTCTCTTTCTCACATACATAAATAAAATCTTAAAAAAAAAAAAAAAGAGCATGTGGGAAGATGACCCCCAAATGCAGGAGTGCCAGGGTCCCAGTGCTTACCTGCATTGGTAGGGGGCTGGGCAGGCCCTAGAGGAGCCAGGCTTTGTACCCCTTCAAGGTCTTCTCCTCCTCTGAGCTGGATCTGCCTAGAGTCCGTGAGCTTCCTGGAGTTTGACTGGAAAGAGATCAGATATTTTAAATGTACTTTTCCAGGCTAAGCAAGGACAATATTCTCTCTCTTTTCCTAGCACCCTGCCCTCCCTTGAGTAAAGCTGGGGTGGAAACATGATGCTGTTTCTCTGAAACAGAGATGGTCTTTGTGGAATTTAAAGTGTGTTGCCATGTCGTTCCATTTTCACTAACTGGGCCTTTGCATAAGGGCAGGGCGTTTGACATCTTTGGGCTCAGGTTCCCCTCTTATTCCGGTACTTTTTAGAGCAGGGCTGGCCCCCTCTGAGGCTTACAGGGGCTGGGTGGGCTCAGGAAAGACTGGAGGGGCTGGGCCTGGTGCTGTGAGGCATTAGGGAGTGGTGGGGACAGTGGCAAAGTGCAGAGCACATGCTTTCTCTGGAGGGGCCACCTGCAGTGTGCCTCGAATGGAGGGGAGGACGAGGGTTGCCAGGTCTAAGGATTTTTTTTTTTTTAGCAGAAGATAGGGATCTGACCTTTTTCTCCCTTTTTTTTTTTTTTTTTGAATCTTCTGATAGTTGAATTTTAAATATTGGTGCATAGTTGAATGGGGGGACAATAACACCCTAAGGACCAAGTAAACAAGCCCCCCTTGACCTCCAGTTTGTAACCTCTGCTCCGGAGGCTCATGAAGCTCTGCGCCGGGGGTGACCAGGGTTGGTGGCAGCTGTAATAAGAGTGACTCGAGGTTAGTGGCTGCTCACACCGTCAGTTCTGAGGGAGACTGGCGTGTGTCTGTGCCGTGTGGTGTGTGAGCCCCCCTTGGCCTTTGGGGCTCACAGCAACCCTGAGGCCTCCCTTCCTACACTGGCTACCCTGGGAGCAGATGTCTTGCCAGACCGGCTGATCTGCTGTCCTCGCTGGGTGACCACGGGAGGCCACCAGGTGGTACTTGCAGGATTTGGGGTCAGATGGATTAAGGTCAAACTGTTCCAATAAGGTCTCCGAAGCTGGTGCAAGTCTTTGGTGCTTCTCAACATGCCTGTTCCCGGTTGCGGGGGAAGGGGGCAATTTTACTGAAAGACTTGGAAGGAAAAAGTTACACTAAAGCAAATGGAGATATATGCGTCAACATTCAAAATTCACCTGCATCTTTAAGACAAAACACCAGACGTTAAAGAAATTTGGGCCTTGGAGCAAAGAAGTAAGCCATTACCACGTGGGAACTTCTTAAGGTAGAAAAGGTCACGGGGCGCCTGGGTGGCTCAGTTGGTTAAGCGACTGCCTTCGGCTCAGGTCATGATCCTGGAGTCCCGGGATCGAGTCCCGCATCAGGCTCCCTGCTCGGCGGGGAGTCTGCTTCTCCCTCTGGCCCTCCTCCCTCTCGTGCTCTCTCTAGCTCATTCTCTCTCTAATAAATGAATAAAATCTTTAAAAAAAAAAAAAAAAAGAAAAAGAAAAGGTCTCAGCAGCTCCAAATTCAGGGAAAGAATGTGTCAGTACCCTCAGGAAATAATTGGATGTGGCTTTCCGTCCCCATTCACGCTTGTTGGGCTGATCACTCATCGAG